TTTTAACTCGGATGGTCCCTACTATTTATTTTTATTGCGCGTTTGGTCCCTGTCTTACCTAAAAAGGCTATTGTGCCCTTATTAATTTATTTTTTAATTAGTTTTCTTATTTATGTATTTATTTTTTATATATTTAAAAAAATTAATAGACCCCACATATCTGTATCTCCTCGGATGATCCCTACTGTTTATTTTTGTTATGTTTTTGGTCTCCGTCTTACCTAAAAAGACTATTGTGCCCTTATTAATTAATTTTTTAATTAATTTTCTTATTTATATATTTATTCTTTATATATTTAAAAAAAATTAATAGACCCTACGAGTTAAAAAAATAAGTTAGGTAAGACAGGTACCAAACGTGCAACAAAAATAAACATTAGGGACCATCCAAGTTAAAAAAACAAGTTAGGAACCAAAAACACAAATTCCCCCAAACCATAGGGACCATTCGTGTAATTTACTCTTAGTTTTTGTTTTGTTCATATTTGGGTAACTATTTTTTTTGTACACATCTAGGTAACGAACTTGTTGAAAGTGTTCACATCTACGATTTAACCTGCTACAGCAGGTCATAATTGTCATATGTGAACACTTCCAACAAGTTTGTTACCTAGATGTGTACAAAAAAAAAAATTACCCAGATGTGAACATATCGAAAAGTTAATTACCTTGATAAGTCATTTCCCCAAAAAAAAAATATTAGGGATTTTTGTTAACTTTTATTATCTTTTTTGGAATTGCCCAACTGTTTCATAATTCCAATTGTGTAAAACGAATTGGAATTTTTCTGCTCAACTGAAATCCGACTGACTAATGGCGGACAATCTTCCTCCAGCATCGCCATCAACCTCGACAAACCATGTTTCAACAACGAAGGTTACGGATATGGATATTGACTCGCTGGTTCACTGTGCAAGCTACCTCACCCTTCAAGATATCTCTAACATGGCCCTCTCCTGTAAATATCTCAATCGCGTCGTTTATTCTGATTCCATCTGGCGACGCTTGTACAGGTCCTATTTTCATAAACGATTTTTAGTGTTTTTATGCTTCCTCTTCTTTAAATTTACCACTTAAGTAATATATTATTTCAAGAAACATCTATGTCTGTTTGTCCTTCTTAATTGACATGAAAGTACACAGAGTTACGATTATACAAGAAAAACTTATTTGAGCTAATTGTGATATGATAGCAGCCCTAACTGGAATTTAATACTGCTAATTGAAGGGAACAGTGGCCGGAGCAGGAACCCTATATTATTTCACAAACATCATGTGCAACTGCAAGAGAAGCATATTTGGGACGATATACTGATTTGCAGCGGTTTAAGTTCGTTGACCCTCTAGTTTATGATGTGCACATGGGGATTGGGGCAAAATGCAGCGATCTCATGTTTAGCAATAATTCTATATTTTTTTCTCAGGTACCCAGTAAGTAAACCTTTTATGGTATTATTGTGGTGTTGATATTGCACACTAGTTAGGGTATAATGATTTGATAATTATCATTTACACAACACACTGTGTATACTTGATTACATCTGAATGTGTATACTTAATACTTGTTTACCTTTACTTGATTCTTCTTACTTTAGGGTCCGGTTATAAAGATTTTGAGCATTGATAAACTGTTAGAAGGAAGACCTTCCATTGTCTCACTTAATGATGATCGTGCAAGAATTACCTGCATGAGGTGAGAATTCATAATATATCCTGTCTTATATGTTTAACATCCACCTCTGGTAGAAAAATCCTTAAAACTTGATGATAATGGAATAGCCCTTTTGTTTACAGATTGTTTCCTCTAAAAGAAACATCATTATTTCGGAACGAGGCACAAAGAAACGAAAATGTTTTAGTTACCTCAAGCTCAGATCACTCAATTCGACTATGGTGGAAGGTATGGATGATGAATTTGCTTTTATCCAATAAACCTAGAAAAAACAAATGGAACCTTAAATGTGTTTGATGAAAATTCAAGGGAAGCTGCCAAAGATGTTTCAGAGGTCATAATGGCCCAGTTACAATCCTCTCTGATAAATTGTTGGGAGATGGAACTGGAAAAGTTTTTGCCAGTGGAGGTGAAGACAGTACAGTCCGCCTTTGGTCAATGAGCTCAGGTGGAAAGTGTGGTGGTCAACATGCTTTGAAGGCCACACTTTATGGGCATGAGAAACCTCTAGTGCTCATGTCTGTTGTTCAGCACAAAGCCTCCCTTCTAGCAAGCATGTCTAAAGATTCCAAGGTATCAATTCCATGTTATCAATCTTGTCTTACACATTTATGTTGTAATCTATCTAACAATTTTCTTTTTTAAAAAAAAAATAATAATAATACAGGTTAGGGTATGGGATACGACAATATCTTCTGATCGTAGTTCGTGTTGTGTGGGCATGACTTGTGTCCCTGGTGTGCCAGTTGGCATCAAGTGCCATGATTACTTGCTTTATATAGCTTTTGGTTCCTCCTTTGTAGCAGTTGACTTGAGGACAATGAAAACAGCCTTCAAGACATCAACAAACCAACCAAAATTGTTTTCATTCGACATTCTCCCCTCAAAATTTTTAGCATGCACCGGTGGAGTTGGCAGGTTGATCCCATCACATCACAATTGTTGTACTGTGCTTGACATGACACGACAGATTGTATGCATTGGACTGAGACTGATATTTTTGTTTACTTTGAGCAGAGCCATGCTTTGGGACATAAGGAGAAGCACAGGGACCGGGGACGCAGATCCGATGGCTGAGCTGGACGGGCATGTGGGTCCCGTAACACACTTGCACATGGACCCGTACAAAGTAGTCACAGGAGGTCGTGAAGATCCATATGTTAATATCTGGGATGCCGACACGGGTAATCAAATGAATATTTTGAGGAGTAGCTCAAGTCTAAATCTAGATGGTGGTGGATGTGGGTGTTGTGGTATGGCTGCAGATGGGTTTCATATTGTTACAGCTTGTTATAATGGAGAAGAGTGTGTGGTAAATTTTAGGGATTTTAATAATGCTGTTTGTTATGGCTCATTTAGTGAGAATGTAACCGGTTCAAAATTTTGGTGCCCATCAACTTCTGGTCATGGTCATGCTGGTGATGAATCTGATGGCTAAAATATGTCTTCAACTTACGTTTTGAGCACCCAACTGAAATAACCGAACGTTAACTGATTTTTTAGGTTTATGTTCAAGTAGCGAATTGATAGTCTTGGTTGACCTTTCGAAATAATTGACACGTCATTTTCAAAGTCAATGGTCAAACAAATAAACATGTAATCTTTTACATCTTTTTCATGCCAATAAAATCACTTGTATGTTGACTTTTTTTTTACAAGTTTCTATTAATTTAGTTTATGGGTAAAAAAACAACCCCATTTGAGGTTGTTAATAGTAGCCTCCAACTATTGTCCTTGGCGAGAAGAATCACCACCATAGGACCCAAGGGAGTCAGGAGTGGTGCCGACATTGCCGAGCACCACCTCCCTAAAATGTGTGTCCACATCATCTTCTACATCCGCATCTTGTTTTTTCACAGATTTTGCCATGGAGAGAGAGAGAGAGAGAGAGAGAGAGAGAGAGAGAGAGAGAGAGAGAGAGATGCTCGGCAATGGAATGCCATGGAGGTTGCCGCCATAAGCTAGGGGGCGGTATTTGCCGAGGCTACAGAGCTGGTGCCGAGGCCACACCTTAAAGCCTAAGAATATGATCCTTAATTCCTTATCTTTTTTCAATCGTTTTCCTGGCTTCTTAAAATAGATACACCATATCCTAACAACTATTTAAGATAGTTCAAAAGTGCTCTCGTTCAACTCAAAATATGCATTCACTTGGTCGATTACATCACACTCATGAGTTTTGTAATTTGTTTTCTGGTTTTCTTATCAATTTGCCTATGTATGGTGCTATTGAACCCATGAACCCTAATCTTATTATGAAGTTTAGCTATAATAAGTCACAAAATGTTGAGTCTTTGTGGATAATGGGAGGTTAAATGGTTGTGATAGGATCAATATAATTTTATAGCTCTGGAAATTTTATATCAATGGGTTATTTCAAGTAGTTTATCAAAAAATTAACTTATAAGCTAATTTATAAGTTGCTATAAGTTACTTTTATGCTATTATTAAACACTAAGCTGAAAAATAAGATAGTTTTTACACTCCAAACACAGCCATTATGTTAACACATTTAACTTTGTTAATTAGTGAACTTATGTTTTCTTATGAATCCAATCAGATAATATATATAACAAACTCAATAGCATAATTTGACAAATAAAAATCCAATAACATAAGCACGCAATTAAAAAAATATTTACATAAGGTTATTAGCACATAAATAGAAATATACATTATATTTTGCAATTGTTTAGGAAGATTAAATATATAGACATCATTAGATGGATCATCGCATTAGTTTTCCATCAAGTAGTCAAGTGTAACTATCAATGTGAGTTCAAGGACAAAAAGCTCATAGTTTTTTTTTCAAAGCTAAAGATTTGTATGTACTAAACCTCTAAACCACTATCCATATGCTCGTATTGATTTCATGGTCCTACTGTCCTACATTAATTAAGAAAAAAAAAAGATCTACATCTATAAGGTAGTTTTACATGTCTTAATGAACATTCGAATGCAAATATATTGTTATACTCATTTTTTCATGAAACTACATCTCTATAATATACAGAAAAAATATTAATTTGGGGAAGATCTATAAAATGATTTTAAAATCCTCACGAACCACGATAATAAAAGGCTAATAGTTGAGGCATAAAATTCATACAGAAGATTAAAAGTTTTGACACATCCAAATTATCTCATATCCTAGTGTTTCACGATTGAATATAACCTTTGGGACATTGGAAGATAATATTGGGGCTTCCTTTTCTTTTTCACTCGCAACAGAATTAAAGCAGTTGTAATGTGAGTAAACGTTAAAATGGAAATGGGAAATTTTGACTACTAGTTCCACTCTCGGAGACTCTTTCCCAACACCCCCAAAATGACAACCACCACTGTTTCCGCCGCCTCCGTCATCGTTACCACCGTCTTCCTCCTCCTACAGCTGAACACTGCCACCGCTTCCACCACTTCCACCCCAATTCTAGGCTTAGACTCCTTTCTGTCCCAGCAATCCCGTCTCGATCCACAGGCTACAAACGACTCCTTCCTGTATCTCTCATCCCCCCTGAAAAAATCCCTCTCCTCCAACCTCCGACCTCCGCCCACCTCCTCCTCCCTCCTATCCCTTAAAATTTCCGTCCCCGTCTACGTCAAACTCGTCGGGCCCTCCTCATCCTTCCCCTCCACATCCCCTTCCCTCTTCTCCTCTTTCCTCACCGCCGCCATCTCCTCCGATCACTACCATGTCATCACCCCCTTTTCATCCAACACCAATCACCGTCTCTCCCTCACCCACTTGCTTGCCCTTGACGTCGACCTCTCATCCCCTTCCCTGTCCTCCAAACTCTCCGATAAAATCAAATCAGAAATCGCAACGACCGCATCACCCCTCAGATCCAATTTAATTTCGATTTCTTACACCACCATCGATTCGATTATTAAACAGGATTTCGAAAAGGAAAAACCCACTAAAGGGGTTTACATTTACTTGCTCAATTTAGGGTCTCAATCAAAGCCCTACGCATATAAGTACACTGATACCGGAGAATCATCTCTCGGTGTTACCAAATGTTCCGGTAGCATCTGGACCGGAAAAGATCGCTACTTGTGGATCGATTTAAGCGCAGGACCTGTCGATTACGGGCCTGCGTTATCTGGAGACGGAGTGTTACCAAGAGGCGAGTTTCACCCTTTAACAGCATTACATGGTCGACCAAAATCCCAAAAAGCTTTACTTGCTGATATGGCTTCTTTGGTTTGGAGTGCCTATAAGGTACTTCTCGTGCCTTCTTTGAGAATTCCTGTGCCTTTCGAGAACACACTGATTGTTCAGTTTATACACATCCATGGCCCTGATCACGATCCAAAAGGTCTGGATTTCAATGTGATCGAGAAGAACTTCAGGGATGAGGTTAACGATAATGGATTATTATTTGCCGATCAGTCATTAAGTTTCAAGAACTACGAAGTCGATTTAGCTGAATGTTCCATCTGTTCCTTTGCCATTTCACTCTGCATTACTTCCTATACTTCAAGGTACTTATTCGATAATTACACTCTAATTGTTAGCGAGTACTTAGATTCTAAACGCCTCCACCAAACATTATCCGAATCCCAAGATGAAATTAGAAGATTAGCAAAACTCCCAGAAGAAGATTTCGGTAGAGTTCTTCCTGTTTACATCTTTGACCTCGAAGTGAATTCAGTTTTGCTGCTAGATCGCTACCACCAATCTGTTGCATTCAAGGACATGGTGATTGCAGTTAGAACAAAGAACACACAGACTGTTAGTGATTATAACTGTAATGGGCGCCATGTTTTCACACAAATCCGTGAACTTGAAAGGCCTCTTGTGGGTTCAATTTTGCAATCAATGTGGGGTGTATCACCAACTCATTTAGTTTGGAGTGCACAACATAACAGCACACTGGTTGACTACACATGGAGTGTTGGACACACACCATTTGGTCCATTTTCAGAGCTTTCTTCATTGTCTTTCATACAAAAAGATGCAGCTAGAAGGAATGTTCTATTAACATCTTTGAATTACACCATTACAAGTGCAATTGATGTTCTTGAATCCATAGCTGCACATGGTGGGGAAAGAAAGCTTCTGCCACATCATCAGCTTCTAGAGTTTTTACAAAGATGGAATTTGTTCAAATACAAGGTGGATAAGGTGGTGTCTTCTTTGTCACATTTGGACTATGAAATGGCGTTGTATTATTTGAGGTCTTCTGATCATGACCTTTATGCAATTCACTCTCTTGTGTATCATGCATCTCAAGATATGGAGGCTGCGCTTGTCTGCTTTGAGGACCCACCGTTTCCATGGGCGTCTTTTTTGATGTCTGTAGGGATTTTCTTTGTTCTCTTGTATGCTTATTTGCAGAGAGACAAACTTTTCAGTAACAAAAGGAAGCAGTTTTAACAGATGAAAAATGACACATTGCTGTATTACTGTAAGATGAAATGGTTGGAGCATTCAAGGAAAGTACTTTGTCTCAGTGAGTCTTGTTTTAGTCTTTTAGATATATTTTCTTTTTTTCATAGTTAAGATTTCAGCTCCCGATTACTGTTAATTGAGTAAGATTGGATGGAATTATAGTAATGCGTTTGGTTGATAGCTTTTTCTCTGTTTTATGTGCATGATTCTTTAAAAGGGTTTTTATTTAATGAGCTTAATGGGTTAAGCCCTTAATCTGGACAACTATACATGGATTGTTTCTTTTTTTTACTTAATTTGGATAAAATGATTTAGTAGGTTAAGCCAGAAGACCTGGCTTCATATATCTAGACACCAACCCTTTACCTATTGCCTTTCCTCTTTTTTCCCTCCCAACTTCTTGCACATTAAAATTGTTGAATATTATTAAAATTGATGAGCTTTGTGAAAATTGTTTGTGAGAACGTAAGGGTAAAATGGTCATTTAAGGTTTTTTTATTCTTTTGCCATTTAGTCTTGTATGGTAAAGTGACTGAATGAATAATCTGTCTAGATAAAGTGTTGTATACTTTTCTTTGTTGGACCGAATAAAGCGTCTGAATACATTAATTTCATTGTGTGATGAGTTTGGTGGAAAATATAAGAAGGGGAAATATGTAAATGGTTGGTGTCTTAATACATTAAGTTATGTTTTTTTATTTAACTTATCAAATCCTTTTGTCCACATTAAGTCATGCTTAACTCATAAAGTGGTAAGAGTTCTTTGATTATTAGGAAATTTATTTACATCATTACATATGAAACGTAATGAAAAACCCCTCAGTTTCCCTAGTCCTGGTAGAAAGCTTAAAAGGATGTCAAAAAGAACCACTTGGTTGACCAAATTGATGCAGTCAATGCTCTTATATTGTTGACCCAAATGAATGTTCTTGAAAATCATAGTTGACATTGAAGTTTCCTTGAAACTTCATAGCATTTGGATTTAGGGAGTTCATAAACGGGAAAGTTTCCTCAGCCTCATAAAAAATCCCATCATACTCTTCATCGTTGACCATCTGTGATCCCCTCTTGTTGACTTCTGCATCATCTTCCTCATCACTGCATGCATTAAGGTTTTTCTGAACAAGTTCTTTAAAGATTGAGGACTGAAACAGCAACCCAAGTGCTGTTGGAGATGATTTTTGGGTTGGACTAATAGGAAATTTGGTTTCAAATGGTTCTTGTTTTTGGGGTAAACTCATTTCTTTTTGTATCGAATTCTTATAGTTGATGAACAATGGCTCTGATTCTCCTTCAACTAAACCAAAGTTGTTAAAGGGCATAACCGTAATTTCTTTATGTGGTTTTGGGTCTTGGGGTGTAACTGGAGCTTGTGCTACTGGTTTCAACCATCTGATGTAAGTGCTTAAATCAAAATTTGTGACCGCGTTTACCCCTCGATACTCGATTGCTGCAATATCATAAGCACGGGCTGCTTCTTCTTGGGTGCCTGTAAAATGACAAAAATTACATTTGTTTAATTCGATTTAAATAATTTAAAATTTCAAATGAAAATATTATTTAAGATTAATTTTTTCTTACTGTAAGTTCCGAGGTAGAGATACTTGTTTCCAAAAACTCTCCCGATTCGGGCTTCCCATCTTCCGTTATGATGGTGTCTTGCAACTCCTCGATACTTTGATACTCCTCTTGAAAACCCACTGCTTTTTCTGAAAAAAAAAAAACGAGAAAATACAACGTTAATTCATAATTAAAGACGTTGTAAAGTTATCATATTACTGTTTATATGAAATCCTACCTTCTTAACGAGGCTAAATATTCTTCCTTTGTTACGGTCAACATTATTTCAATTTCTTTCTCGTAATCGGAGACCTTCACAAAAGTTAAAGATCGATGAACACTTGGATCTTTGAAATTTTGGTTTACATTAAAGAGACATTTTACGACTTATTTTATAATGAGGGCATTTACGTCTTTTGACAAGAGATCTAGAGAAGTCTCTGTCCCACTTCTTTTCACAGGACAAAAAAAAAAAAAAAGATTTTGGCGATTAAAATCATTTTTGGTCTCAATATTAATCCAATGCAAGTCAAAAACGCAATACAACTATTGTGTCATGTCATTTATGTTTGTGCCCATAAGAGATCAAGTCTTTGTCCCACCAAAAAGTGTAAGTTTTGACATTGATATTTGTCACGTCAGTTCGGTGAACATCAAACACAGTATGTTATGTTATGTCATGTCATGTCATCTACATCTTTTGCATAACACAAGACTTTGTCCCACCCATCTTTTTTGGTGGGACAAATTCTCAATCTTAGTCTGATACATGTCAAACACAGCACAACATGTTATGGCATGTCACAAACATAGTACACCATGTTGTGGTATGTCACTAGACATGGGGCCTCTCAAGGTACTATGTTTGCATATTAAAGTTTAAAAAGTGATATACCGGAAAATTTGTGAAAGTTGAAGGACCCCAGTACTTGAGTGCAGCTAGATCATATGCACGAGCTGCTGATTCTTCTTCATCATAAGCTCCTGCGGCATAATAACAATAAAAAGTTATAAACTTGATGATCTAGTCATTGAACATAAGACTAATTTTAGAATTAAGAACTCACCAAGATAAACTATTGAACCCCAACCAACATGTCATCAACATTCCAGATGAAAGTAAGAAAAACAAGAAACGAAATTAGCTAGGTCAAGATTTGTTATAGGTTAATGAAGTATATGTAAAAAGGGTGAGGTTACCTTGTTTTCCTTTTTTTTTCTGTGTAACATTCCAAGAAAGTTTATCCCACAAGTGTGCTTCATATCTACCTGTCCATCTATGTTTACTCACACCACGAAACTTTGAACTTCTTTTCACAGTAGTTGGACTTGGTGAAGCTGCAGCTTGATCCGTTTGTTGGGTAAGGTTTGTTGTTTGCAACTGTTGAGTTTTACAGTCTAGTGTAAGATCTCTTCTTCTTCTCTTCACACGCCTCGGCTCAAGGGCAGGAACGTCATTTTCATTTTCAACCATATTGATGGATCTACGTAGAGAGTTCTCTTCATTTTTCACTGCAATCAATGCCATTATATGTATTATGTTTCTTGGACACCCTGCAAGAATGCATGCTAGCTGCTACATGTGTTTGTATATATATAATCTATACATAAATATATGAATATAATTATGAATGGTTGACTTATGTGGGTGTGTCATGCTTTTGTCTAACACGATGATTCCAATGAATTATACAGCAGCTGTAGACAAATTTTATTTGTTGATACTCTGTTTTGGTATGGAATCGTTTTCATTGTGTTTGACGATTTCACACATACAGCCAATCTGGTTCTGTATGGGTCTTTGGGGGGTAATCTAGTCATTTTGATCGTCATGACTGTATAAATTAGTAACAAATTCGTTTTGTTGTAAAAATGGATTAAAAAAATGCTACTTTTCATTGGTCCATATATATTGCAACAGCTTAAGGAAGCATCAGATACCCAGCTTAAAAGAATTCCCATGGGATTTTCCGTCGGTTTAGTATACGTTTGAATGGGACGGAATTAACTATGGGATCTGTTCGTTTAGAATTAAAGAGTCCAAGCTACTTATGCTCTTACTTGGAAGTATGTGTATGCATGTGGCATGTGGCATTTATTATATATGGGATTTTCTTTCCCAATTTCTAGTTGTGTATATATTTGTTCAATCCTATAATATAATCTAATAATTAGGGCCGTAAACGAACTGAACGTTCAGCGAACTGTTCGCGAACCGTTCGACGGGAAGTTCGTTTATGTTTGTTTATTTAATAAATGAACGAACATGAACATAAATTCTTGTTCATTTAGTTAAACGAACGAACATGAAAAATGGTCTCGTTCGTTCAATTATGCTCGCGAACGTTCGTTTATGTTGTTCGTTTACGTTCGTTTATGTTCGTTCATATAAGTTCCTTTTATGTTCATATATGCTTAATTGCGTTTGATTACACTACTATATTATATGTTTATTTATGTTCAATTATATTTGTTTATCTTTGTTGGTTTATGTTCGTTCGTTTATATTTGCTTAGCATGCTCATGAACATAAATGAACGAACATGAACAATGTAATTTGTTAAACGAACGAACATGAACAAGAAAACACGTTCGTTTATCCGTTCGTGTTCGTTCATTTGTTCGGCTAACTTAAACAAACGAACATAAACAAGCCCCCGTTCGTGTTCGTTTGGTTCGTTTACAACCCTACTAATAATGTAATAGTTGGGAAAATAGCCAAAGATGATTCAGATTGCGGACAACATGCTTGCATATGACATTCTGTACCTCTTAGAAAACTTTAGACATCCTTATGATATAAAAACCAAGTTCCATCTTTGAAATAGTTAACCCCTGGTGGACAAAAACAAAATGTTAGAGGCACTCAGGGGCGGATTGGGGCGGATTTAGGGGGTCACCGGGAACCCCTAACTTTTCCGGCCGTAGTGGAAAATTTTTCGAAATTTTTTAAAATTTTTATTTTTTCTATTATCGTGCAACCCCTACTGTGAAATCCTGCGTCCGCCCATAGAGGCAGCACACGTAATTTTAGGGGTAGCACGCCTGAAAAATTGCAGTATACCAAAAAAATTTCCACTGCCAAAATTTTTGAGGGTAGCACGATCTACACTAAGCTCCCACTAATTAAGGTTCGCCACTGCCCTAGGCCCTAGCTATATGCCGTTTATGCAATTTCCGATTTTGGCACGTGATTTTACTAGCCGTAGAAGCAATGAAGCTTCTATGGTAACACAATTTCATAATCTGTTTTTTAAATTAGCAGTAGAATTATATCGTTGCCAAATAAATAAATAAATAACATAATTATCTATTGAGGTTTGTGTTGGATTAAGGTGTCTAAGTTAGTGACTAAATTAGTATATTATTGTAATTACAAACAAAGTCCTTTTTAAGTTGCCTCATGACCAAAAATAGCTAGAAATAATAGAGAGAAGTATAATTTATTAGATTATTATATGATTAATAAAAACTAATTGGAAATTATGAGAAAATGATTTGTTAATATATTATGTAATTAATATATTAATTGGAAATAGACAGTTGATTTGTTAATTTATTATGTGATTAATAATTTAATATGAGATCAATTGTTAAATTTGATTTGTTAATTTATATGGTTAATAAATTAATAAGAAACCAATTAGAATTGTTTAATTATTAATCAAAATTAATTTGGAATTAATTCGGGATTAATTGGTATTAATTGAAAGTGCAAGGGGTGAATTGTAATTGTTCAATAATTGAACAAAAGATGCAATTCTAGAAGTATCCATATCATGGACGATTTTGTGGAGTTTCCTTAGGGTATCCAAAAGCCTCCTGGTTGCATAAAAGGAAATGATTTGAATTAAGATTAAATCTATTATTTAATTAATTCAAATTTTGTTTTGCCTGCAAGTTACCTAAACTATAAATAGGACCATTTGGCTTACAATTTTCGTTGACCACATTACCTAAAGACGTAGGAACAAAATTCCCTTCATATCTCTTTTCTCCTCCTCATTCTAGGGTTTATGGTTTTGGGTGTGAGTCATTAGAGGCCTCATCCTTTTGATGCTTGCTTTCCAAGGAACTTCAAGAGGATGAACCCTAATGGCCTTAATTTTTCGCAAAAGGCTAGGGTTCTTGAAACCCTAGCCTCCATCCCTATTTTCGAAAATGCAAGGGTTTCCCTAGAGTTTTTCTTGACGAGCTCGCTTATGGTATTTCTCCACAATGTCCTTGTTCATCTCATACGGCCAGTAATCCTCATAGAATCTCTGCAACTCAGGGGTCATCGTGGCGACCATGATGCAATCTTAGTTAGTTCTTTCTCAAGGACATATTCCTTGTCCTCGAAAACGAAGGGCCATTTTGATGTTGCGCATCCAGTCGTTGTAATTGGTGTCATCCAATGTCACCTTTGAGCAGATGTTCAACCACGAGAAGTGTTTATTGGAGGAGGAGGAACCAAAAACATCATTTGGAGTAGACATCTGTAAAAGGAAGATAGTTTTAGTTAGATACGAATAATCCTTAATATAGCAACCCAAAATGAAATATTAAGACTAGGATCCAACTATATAATTCACAACTTATAAAAGGGATGCCGTAATCTAACTGTAAGTTTTTATAAAGGTAGGTAAATGACGATTCACCAATTCCACCAATAGAAAACGAAATTTTAAAAGGAAATTAAGTTTTGATGAAATTCCTAGATCTTTTAAGATTCATTGAAATCATTCAATGGCATGTTTAATCTCAGATTATGCTCTTCTATTTGTGACTGGGATACCGATGATCACAAACAAGATGCGAATAACCATGCAAATGTGCTTGGTAACCTCATTGTCATTTATCATCTCAATTGATGTGCTGGTAAACCACACACGCTCCATCAACAATGATAATTTATGAGATACCCATTACAACTATTTATTAGTCCCTATTGGTGTGTTGGTTAACCACACACGCTCCACTAACGACTTATAAAGTGTAATGTGCAATTTCATGGGTTAGCATACAAATTCACATTTTTGCTTAAGTAACTAGATTTGGGATTTTAATAAAAGGGTTCTAGTACTTTTTTAATATCATTATACTTTTAATGAGAATTATTTGTCCTATTGTAACGCCCCGACTCTCAGGTATTAATTTTATGGCTTTAATTTTCATAAATTGCAAGGTCTACTCGACGAGTTGGATGCCCTGACTCGTCGAGTAGGAGTGGGTTTGGCCACGTGTTAAGTGACCGACTCGCCGAGTCCAAGATAGGACTCGACGAGTAGTAGCTGGGGGATGAAACCCTAATTTCCGGGGTTTTGCACCCTATTTAAAGGATCATTAGCTTCCTTTAGCCCCTTACAGCCTCTTGAGAGTACAACAAACCCTAATCCGTGTGTGTGCTCCATTCTTGTGTATTTTAAGCTTTGGAAGGTGGATCTTAGTGAGAAAAGCTTGGAGAAACAAGTGGCTAGAAGCAAGGAGCGTGTTGGGATCTGAAATCTACCTCAGTTAGCATCTTCTGAAGGTATCAAGTCGTTACCTTGACCTCATTTCCTTCTAGATCTCATTTGGCTAAGATTAGGGCTTTTCTATCATATTAGGAAGCTATTATTTGGTATGAGCTAAGATCTGAAGTTGCAACTTCAGATCTGAACTCTCTTTGGTCTATAAGTCCATAAAGCTTCCAGCTTTAGCAAGTATGAACCTCTCCTTAGGTGTAAAACTCCAGTACAAACTTGGTTTTGACATTATAAGTCTTTAGAGCCTTGCATGCACGTAAAGTTTGCAACTTTACGTGATAAACATGCCTTGGGAAGCTGGCTCTGCAATATGGAACCTTAAAATGGCTTAAAAAGCATTTGAATGGATAATGGACTGAAGGGACTCGGCGAGTTGCATGGCCAACTCGGCGAGTCCGATGAAGATTGTTGTGCAAGGACTTCTACATGGACTCGGCGAGTCAGTGGGGTGACTCGGCGAGTCAACTAGGGTTTTCCCGACATTTGGACATGCATGAACTCGGTGAGTTGCAGGGAAACTCGACGAGTCAACCAAGGATTTCACAACTTCTCGAGTTCAGGAAGGACTCGACGAGTCGGTGAACTGCACTCGACGAGTCGGGTCAACATGGACTGTTGACCTTGACTGTTGACTTTGACTTTGCCCAAGGGTTGACCAGTTTGACCCCTGGGGGTATTTTGGTAATTTGGAAATTTATGAAAATTGTTTTATGGTAACTATAGGTGGTGGAGTTCGTGTCGGTGATTCGAGAGTTGAGCTTATCGCTTCAGTCTGACATTTGTGAGGTGAGTTACCTCACTATACTAAGGGGTCTAAGGCACCAAGGCCGGCCCATTGGATATGATATCCTAGCAGTGGTAGTATATTGAGTATGAGTTAGTGTTGCATGCTAGTTGCTATGCCAGTTAGGTAGATCTGTAGGACTACCTGTAGTATTATGTGATTAATTGTATGTGCATTAGTTGTGTTATATGTCGACATATTATGTGGGATGGGTTGAGGTGATACTGCTCCGTGCGGTAACCAACAAACCCGGGAGCATTCCAGATACGAGCTGAGGGCCAGGTGGGGCATGCCATACTCATACTGTGGGCTCGGGAGCATTCCAGATACGAGCTGGGGGAGACTCGTATTGTGGGCTCGATGGCAATCCAGATGCGAGTTGTGGGTCCGGAAGGCAATCCAGACTCACACTGTGGGCCTAGGGGTAATCCAGACTGTAAAGTTGTGGACCCAATACATGCTGTTATTTGTATATGTGTTATGTGTAGTATATCAGTATTTTGGGGGAACTCACTAAGCCTCGGGCTTACAGTTTCAGTTTATTGTTTCAGGTACATCAGGGGATCGCGACAAGGCAAAGGCGTGATCGTACAACTCCTCATATTTATGTTTATGTTTATGTGATACTCTGATATTATACATTTTGAAAACAAGTTTTGTAATGATTAATGGTTTTGAAATGTTTTAAAAGTTTAAATTTGGCACGATTTTTATGGGTGTTACACCTATCAAACCCGTTCGGCTAACGACCCTCCACAAATCAAGGAAGGCGGTGGGTGATAGTGGACACCCATTCAACTACCATTTTATAGATAGTCCTCGTATACCCCCTTATAGATTAGTTTCGTGAATGAGGCGTACTCGTGGTTCGACTGGCTTAGTCTTATACATATAGTAATTATTAAAATTTTAATTTTACATATAGTATAAGGTGTATTTTAAAACTTTTCAAAATACTAGGTATATAATTAAATTTCGAAAATTAATAACTAATTTAAATTTAAAAATAAACCAAATGATTTAATATTTATCTATTAATTAACAATTAATTAGATATATTAAATCAAATAAGGATTAACTAATTAAATTAATCAAATAATTTAATCATAATCCTTACCCTCTAAATTTTCGAAAAATGGGTATAGGATTTATCCAATTTTAATTATCTCCTTTTAGGCAAGTAAAATGATAATTACCAAAATTTGAAAAACCCTAACTTACCTAATTTTCTAAAATTTGCTTGGGAGGAAGTTTAGGGCTTCAAAACCCTAACCCTAATTTTGAAACTTGGGGAGAAAATTCTAACCGTAATGAAAAACCCCAATTTCGAAAGTTGGGGAGGAAGGTTAGGGTTTCAAAACCCTAACCCTAATTTTCTAAAATTTGCTTGGGGGGAAGGTTAGGGTTTCAAAACGCTAACCCTAACCCTAGTTTGTTATGACTTATGACAGACCGATAGTTTAAGCCTTTTGGGTTTAATTTCCGTAAATCCTAATTTGATCAAATTCAACAATTATAGCAAATTCAATTGAAAACAAACAAAATGCTCTGCTACCACTGATGAGTTTTAGGCATAACAAAACAAACTTAAAACTCTTAAGTGTGCATGCAACCTAAAACAAGATCTATGTTTTCTCTATTGAACCTATAACTAAGAACATCAAAATAAGAACCCTATAAATCCTAGGTAATTTTTGAAAAAACACAAGAAAGGGTTTAGGATTACATACCTCATTGTTATTATAATAAATAACAATTATCCTTGACTTGTAGAACCTTTGGAAGCAAGCACCACAAATGTCGTGTCTCTAGTGGTTCACACACAAGCTCGCAAGAAGGAGATTATGGAGAGGGAGAGAGGAGAGCAAAATTCCGGCTAAGCCTTGGGAAGGAAGTGATGGCCGAAAATCAAAGGCCTAGGGGTCCTTATATAATGCAACTAGGAAATCCTAGATAACCATGATTTGAATTAAATAATATTAATTCAAATTTAGTAATTATCTAGCTTCCTAATTATCCACATGGGATAATCTAGAAACTCTAGATTATCCCCTTGAAACAGTCCACCCTCCTGGTGGAAGGTTCTGGAGTCTTTTGTTCAACTATTGAACAATTGCACTTTAGACCCTATACTTTTAATTAATTCCATTAATCCAAAAATTAATTCAAATTAATTACTGATTAATTATTAATTAAATATCACTATTTCTAATTAATATATTATTCTCATAATATATTAATAAATTATTTATTTCAATTTATTAATCAAATAATAAATCAACCACTCTCTCCAAAAATCATCTTGTCTAATTGCTAGGTTTGAGGGCAACCCAAAAGGATTGTGCTACTATCAATTCAAGTTTATACCAATTATAGTTATGAGTTTAGACACATAATCCAACAGATTCTCCATTTGATCATACAACTGTCCTATTTCTGTTACTAGCGATTCAACCCTCTTGAGTAGAGCTCCTTCAACATCCTTTATCCCCATTTATAATCCCAACCATAATCGTGAATGCTCTGATACCAATTTGTTATGAATTGGATTCTAAGAACAGATTCAATTACATAAAACACCCAAATGATCCTAATCTTGATTGAAAACACTCAATAATACCAAATGATTACGAGAATGAAGATATTTTAGCCGATTCGAGATAGCCAATCTCCCAAAGAAAATAATTCCAAATTCCACACAAAAGATAGATACCCCACTTCCTATCCTACTACCCTCTTATACTATCTGTCATAAGTCATAACAAACTAGTTAATATAAAATGCCTAAAATGCCCATGCACTAATAAGATTATCTTTATTTGATGGTTTTCCTATATTCCCCTTATCTAACATATGTGGCATAGGTTGATGCATAACACCAACAAGGCACAAGTTCATAATAGAAAAGCTCATAACGTTTTAAAAGACAATTTGATTGATCATATATGGAAATAATTCAACAATCTATTTTATTAAGTATGTTTGATGAATATAAAATAAATTTTATCTATTTTTATTTAATTTTATTTTTAAAACAAATATTTTTTGTTTCAAAATAAAATATTATTTTTAATATTTATAGTAGTTTTAAGTAAAATAAAAATAATAAAATAATAATTTTTTTAATAAAAACAATTTTAGTTGGATCTTTAATGGACGTGAATAATTAGATTAAGCTGGGTTATATATTTTATTGAAAAAATAGGAATAATCTTAGGAGTCTTGAATTAGCACCATCGTATATAGTTTTGACCACTACCCAGAAATGACAAAAAAAAAATAATAATAAATAATACCTTCAATGAAAGGCACGTGCAAAACACGTGTCATTCTCTTTTACGGAAAAATGTTCGAGATTAAGGGGGTGTTTGACTTTCTTTTTAAAACAACTTTTGGACTTTTAACTTTTCCAAAAAGTTTAAAAAAGTTCAAAAGATGTTTGGCAAAATAGAAAAAGTTCTTTTAAATCAACTATTAGCCATGACCAAAAATGAGCCTTTTTAAAAGTCATAAAATCCTATCTTTTTGTGACTTTTGGTTTTTATCTCTTAAAAGTCTTAAAAATCTACCAAAACACATTTTAAATACCTCCTTTTAGAAAAAATCATTTTTACAAAATGACTTTTAACTTAAAAAAAAAAAAAAAAAAAAATCCCAAACACACCTAAAAGTAGGGTGAACAAACCGGTTTTTTTTTTCAAACCGAACCGGTTTAGTAAACCGGTTCGGTTCAGATTCGTGAATAGTAAAACCGGTTCAGCCATAAACCGGTTCGGTTCATAGAAAAACTCGAACCTATCTAAACCGGTTACATCGGTTCTAAACCGGTTCAATCGGTTCTAAACCGGTTCGATCGGTTTGACTACCGGTTCCAAACCGGTTCACGGTTATTAAACCGGTTTCAATATCTAAAATCTCGAACGGGTGCGAACCGACGGTTCGGTTCTTGAATCGGTTCGGTTGCTAGTGGACCGGTTCGTAGTGAACCAGTTTACCGGTTTAGTGACCGGTTCGGATCTTGAACCGGTTTTTTTGTGCAAGCCTAATGGTTATGGGCTGAAGCCCAAAGAAACATACGACAAGCTTTATCCGGGAGCCCACCTGATCCCCTCATCGATCGTCGGGTCGTCGCTGTAAATAAGGCGGCAAAGTTTTAGAAGGTGAGGCAACACGAACTTCCCATGGGGCTCTTGTGCATTTGATCCACTCCCACCATCTTTCCTCTTTCGCGCCATTAACCCGTTACTCCATTTGCTCTTCAGCTTTATTAAGCCATTTCTACTCGATCAAAACCCTAGCTTCTTCTCTGTAACCATGGCGGACGGTCACTTGTTCAATAACATCTCTCTTGTCGGTCGCGGCGGCGCCGTAAGTTATTCTTTTCCATATTCATTCCGTTTCTTATTTTCTTTTCGTGTTAAAACTTACTTTACTCTGCTAAAAACCCTAACCCTAGTTTACGGCGGAACGGCGACGAACATGTACGGTTTATGTGTATATATTTTTTTCAATCGACTAGGTGGACTCGGTTTTATTTTGTTTTTATCTTTGTCTTAGGGTTTTATTTCTTTTTCACTTGGAATTTGATTATTGTTGATTTGGGGGCACAAAGCGCAGAAAACTCCGTTCTCTATTTGGTCCATGTGTGATGTTTGTTTCTGGTTTTCTATTCGACGGCTGTGTGTTATATGTTTAGAACAGTGTTGTTCACTTGGAGGGTGGAATCATAGTAGATATGATAGCTTGAATTGGAATTAAGCCCCTTGCCCCAATTTTTGATGAAATTCAGGAAATATGTTTAAGGCATTTATGTGAAGCTTCACCAAATTCTCTTAGGTTTTGCTCACACTTGCTTGCTTTGCTCTTTAAGTCTAAGGAGTTTGTTTCTAGTTTCTGGTTAGTCATAGTGTTGAATATGTTAACTTCAGAGGGAAAATTTTGTTAACCATCTATTACTGGTAAATGCAGAATCCAGGACAACTTAGGGTTCATTCGCGTGGCTTGGTGTGGAAGAAACAAGGTGGTGGCAAAGCTGTGGAAGTAGATAAGTCTGATATCGTGCGAATAACATGGATGAAGGTGCCAAGAAGCAATCAACTTGGTGTGCAGATTAAAGATGGTCTCAAATATAAATTCACTGGTTTCCGTGATCAGGTATCTTTTCCATGCTCCCTTACTGCATTTTCTCTATGATGTAGGCTGAATTTCATGAACTGGTTTTATTCACATGTAATAATCTTTTGTTACTCTGCTTGCAGGATGTGCCTAGCCTGACCAATTTTTTTCAAAACTCTTGTGGCATAACACCAGAAGAGAAGCAGCTTTCAGTTAGTGGAAAGAATTGGGGAGAACTTGATATAAATGGTTAGTAATCTTTCTTATATGCACCTAGTAGATCCTCTGATTTATTTTCTTTTATTAAAAAATTCACATGTTTTTTTCCTTAAATATGCTCCAGGCAATATGCTTTCTTTTCTTGTTGGTGGAAAGCAAGCATTTGAAGTATCATTAGCTGATGTGTCCCAGACACAGCTTCAAGGAAAAAATGATGTCATCTTGGAGTTCCATGTGGATGACACAACTGGTGCAAATGAGGTCTCACAACTTTTCTTCCATAATTTTTCTGTCAGGTTCTTGTTTTTCATACTTGGAAGTCTTGTTTTTACTTATGTTTGAGGCATTTTTTTTGTTAATACAGAAAGATTCTTTGATGGAAATGAGCTTCCACATTCCCAGTTCAAACACTCAGTTTGTTGGGGATGATAATCATCCTCCTGCACAAGTAAGTTGCATGAATTTCTTCATTGCTGCATTTGCAGTACCATTTTATTTCTTTTATAATTTTATTTCTTTTACATTTTGTAAGATTTTCCGAGATAAAATCATGTCCATGGCGGATGTTGGGGCTGGAGGTGAAGAAGCTGTTGTCACGTTTGAAACCATTACCATTCTTACACCAAGGTATTGCCTCTATTTCCATGTAATTTTCATCCTGTTTTTCAAGGAATATAATGGGAGTTTGTTGATATTACAGGGGTCGATACAGTGTTGAACTTCACCTTTCCTTTTTACGGCTTCAAGGGCAAGCCACCGATTTCAAAATTCAATACAGCAGCATAGTCCGCGTTTTTGTTTTGCCTAAGGTTCTTTTTTGTTCTTCTTCCTTCCTTTACACAAGACCAAGAGTTGTTTTAAGTCATGATAAGTTGTTGTCATTGGTTAAAATGACTATATTACCCTTTTTGGTGATGCAGTCTAACCAACCTCACACGTTTGTTGTTGTGACTCTGGACCCTCCTATCCGTAAAGGTCAAACAATGTACCCACATATTGTAATGCAGGTACTATTTTTTCACTGGTTTTCAAATTATCCCCTCACAAACCATGATGATGATGATGATGTTTCTGTTATTGTTGTTTCAGTTTGAAACTGATTATGTGGTGGAGAGCACTTTGATGATGAATGAAGACTTGTATTCTAGCAAATACAAAGACAAATTAGAACCATCATATAAGGTATACTTGATAGTGTTGTTGGTTCATGATGATGAAATTCCAAATTTACCCTTGAAATTGAAATGAACAGGGACTGATTCATGAAGTGTTCACAATGATCTTGCGTGGATTATCTGGTACAAAGCTCACAAGACCCGGAAAGTTCCGGAGCTGTCAGGATGGTTATGCTGTGAAGTCTTCATTAAAAGCTGAAGATGGAGTTCTTTATCCTCTTGAAAAGAGCTTTTTCTTCTTACCAAAACCTCCTACACTAATTCTTCATGATGAGGTATTGAATTGATGATGTCTTTTTATTATGTAATCCATATTAAATGTTGTCATTAATTCATTTGTTGTGTTATTATAATAGATTGACTATGTGGAATTTGAGAGGCATGCTGCTGGAGGATCAAACATGCATTACTTTGATCTTCTTATCAGATTGAAGACAGAACACGAACATCTCTTCCGTAACATTCAAAGAAACGAATATCATAACCTGTTTGATTTTATCAGGTGAGTTGTTGGTATAACTAATGTTTTTTCTTGATCTGCCAATATCCTAACCATAAATTAAATTTAGCTCAAAGGGTCTGAAAATCATGAACTTGGGAGGCGGTGTTCAAGCTGCAGATGGTGTTGCGGCTGTTCTAAGGGATGAGGAGGATGATGCGGTTGACCCTCATCTTGAACGAATCAAGAATGAAGCTGGTGAAGAAGAGAGTGACGAGGAGGTAAACCCTAAAAATCTTAAACCACAACCACAGTCAATAATAGTTTGACTGACTTTGTTTTTGGAATATATATATATATGTTTGTGACAGGATGAAGATTTTGTGGCTGAAAAAGATGATTCGGGCTCACCTACTGATGATTCCGGGGGAGACGACTCAGATGGTAGTGACAGTGGAGGTGAAAAGGAGGTAATTATTGATTGATAGCAAAAAAAATAATAATAATAATGCATTTGACAATTAGATAGATTAAAAGCATGAAATGAATGATATTATTGATTGATAGCAGCAGAGAATTCCTAAGAAGGAATCAAAGAAAGAAGCTAGTGGTTCGAAAACAGCAGCAGCAGCAGCATCTTCAAGTAAGAAGAAAAGCAAAAGCGGGGCAGGGGACGAAGATGGTGCAAAGAAAAAGAAACAAAAGAAGAAAAAGGATCCAAATGCACCAAAAAGAGCAATGAGTGGTTTCATGTTCTTCTCGCAGCTTGAACGAGAGGTTTGTTTTGTTAAATAAATATAATAAAAAAGTTAATGGTTGTGAGATTATGTGTATGTTTTGTATAGAATCTGAAGAAGGATATTCCGGGAATCGGATTTAAGGAAATTGGGAGGGAACTTGGAGAGCGTTGGAATAAGTTGACAGCAGAAGAGAAGGCACCGTATGAAGCAAGAGCAGTGGCAGATAGGAAAAGGTATCAAAATGAAAAAACCGGCTACAAGAATGCGCAACCTGCTCCCATGGATTTGGTAGATGAATCAGACAGCAATTAGGGTTTTCGTCCGTGTTATGAAATTTGTTGCCCTAAATAAGTATGTGGTAGCTTCATTTGATTTGATTTGATTTGTCTTGTCTTGATGAGATAGTTGCTGTTTTTATCATGGAACTAGGTAACTTGATGTAATGACTTATAGCAATCAGGCTATATGCCAAGGTTGTAAACATCTTGCAAGATGGTGATTGTAAGAATAGGATCCTAATCCTACTAAAAATTGCAGTTATAAGTTTAAAACATGAAAAATATATCTTTATCCTTTAGTTGAGCTAGTTGACAGTTCAATGATTATAAAAAGTTCAAACATTAGTCATAATTAATCTATTCCAACATTAGAGAAAATAAATCTATTCTAACACGTTGTGAAATGTTGCAACATGTACTAACTAGCACTCCAATATGTTCAATCATTTGATTTTTTTACTTGCTTCCTGCTTCGGTTCCTTTTTCATTTTGTATGGCGACATGTTTCTAAAGTGGTTGAACTTGAAGGGAGAAAAAGAATTTCAACAACGTTTACTTTACCCTTTTAGTCTTTTACATTTAAAAAAAATAAAAATAAAAATAAAAATAAAAATAAAAGGAAAAATTGGTACGAACTTATCGAGTAATGATTGAGTTCAAAGTTTGTTATCCCACAACTCTAAATGCAATTTTATTCTAAACTTGATCATAATACGATTCAAATCATTTTCCACAGATGTGAGATTGTAAGACACTATGTCTTGACGACCTCATCATATGCCACACTTTGAAACCAAAACTATCAACATACTGGACTACAAACAACTATGGCCATCATGATATCGAACTCTTAGAAATGCCAGACCAATATTAGTAGAACCAAACCTTAGGAGCTGATGTTGAGTTCGGTTTGGTACCTCAAAAAGTAATAAGATACGTGTCAACACCGGTTCGAGAAGTCTACCCCATACGAGGATTCAAGTTAGGAAGGGACAAACGCCAGTCATGACATGATTGTGCTCTTTTATGATTGTACTGATAAAAGAAGATCTCGGAAATATATTCAATACATAAATACCACTACAACAACCTCATGTATAAATAATGAGTTATGATCTATTTTGAGGATATCGATCTTGTCTTATATATCTCATATATGTCTTTCAATCTCTCTCATTCGATCTAACTTAATCGTCACAACTTTCAATTGTGTAAAGGCCTATGTTTCATCTAACGACTTGTGGTGGTGTTTCAAGACCTAGAGCAACCCCCAACAGGGGCGGTCTTTGAGTATGAGGAGATGGTCAAGTCTTGAGCCAACCCAGTTTAGGCCCAACTAGTTAGGGGTTAGGCTATATACGCTTAAGGGGATAGGTTGTATGTGCTTTAAAGACCTAGCAGCACAACCTAGCCCAGGACTAGCCGGGATTGAACTGGGCTAGACCAAGCATAACCTAATTGTTCATTGACTGTCGGAGCCTGATCCCAGGGCACAGTCTCTGAGACGGTTTTTTTCCAATATTACCAAAACGGGTAAGAAACTTTGGTTTTTGTCCATATTTAGGTAACCATGTTTTTTTTCGTACACATTTGACCAATAAACTTGTTTGACCTGTTCATAATAGGGTAATATTATCGTAATTACCAGTCATATTATCGTATTTTGAACAGGTCAAACAAGTTTAATGGTCAAATGTGAACGAAAAAAACATGGTTACCTAAATATGGACAAAGACCAAAGTCTCTTACCTTTCTACGACATTAACCCTTATGTAAGGTTATTGTATCGACGTTCAATGTTTGTTCTGATTTACCTTTGTTGTCTTCTGTAGTCTTTAAGGTCCTCTTTTGACTCTTGGGGTGTCCATGAACCTTTTTTCTATAGGTATGGAGTATTTAATAACTTTTTTTAGTAACTTTATTAAGGGCCGATTCTCTTTTTTACAATATATATATATATATATATATATATATATATATATATATATATATATATATATATAATTATAGGCTTATAACTGAAAATATACTTGTAAAATATATTATTTATGAATCGTTGTTTCAAAACAATTTATTAACTTATTGGCTTTTTGAAAAGTCAATAAGTCAAAATAAAGTGTTTGTTAAAAACAAAATGATTTATGTTTGACGTACTAACAGTTAGCTGAAAAGCTAATTGATAGCTGAAATGTTAGCTGTTAAATGAAAAGCTAGCTGATTAAAAATATCGTTTGGTAAAAATGGCTGAAAAATATAAAATGAAATAAAAGGACATTTAAAAGAATTTTTTTCTATAATTAATTAAGAGGTATATTTAAAAAATTAAAAAAAATCCTAAAAAGCTAAAAAGCTAGCTTATAAACTACTTTTTGACTTGCCAAACATGACAACTTAAAAAAGTTCAAAAAATAAGTCAGCTTATCAGCTAGCTGTGGTGTGCCAAAAGTAGCCTTAAAACAACTTCTTCTTAGACTATGTTTGGCGTACTAGATGAAAACCTAGCTGTTAGCTAAAAAACTAGCCGATAGCTGAAAAGCTAGCTGTTAAATAAAAAGCTAGCTGATAGCTGAAAAGTTAGCCGATAAAAAATAATGTTTGGTAAAATTAGCTGAAAAGCTAGCTGAATGATATAAAATTACATAAAAAGGACATTTAAGAGAATGTGTTTCTATAATTATTTAAGGGGTATATTTAGAAAATTCTAAAAAAGCTAGTTTAAATAGTTTTTAAAAAGCTAACTTATAAGCTATTTTTTGGTTTGCCAAACACGACAATATAAAAAAACTCGAAAAATAAGTTAACTTATCAGTTAGCTGTGGGACGTCAAACACACACATATCCTTTCAAAAGAAGATTTTAAAAAGTTAGAATTTGTAACTTTTATTAATTCGTTATAACCTTTTGAGTTGTAAAACTCAATATTACCTTGAAATACCCTTAAGCTACGACAAACATTAAAAAAAAGGGTAAATTACAAGAATGGTCCCTGTGGTTTGGGACAGTCTGCGCTTGGTCCCTAAAACTTTTTTTTTAACTCGTACTGTACTTATTATATATTTTCGTTGTGTTCTTAGTCCTATCAGACTTAAAAAGGCTTTATTGCCCCTGTATATTTCTTTTCTGATTAATTTAATGTTTATTGATTATTTATCTATAGTAGAAATTGTTTACTAAACATGTAGGTCCTACCACCCAAGCCAACCTACCCCTCCTCACCCCCTTCTTCTTTTCTCGTTCCAGCTACTCCAACACCGACCACTTTTTAAATCAAAATAATGTCATTCTAAATAAAATCATACCAGAAACGTTTTTGTTCATTACAAGGAAACAAGAAATGCAAAAAAAAATCAAATCTGATAAACTTGAGACGAACCAAATACAAAATAAATACCATCAGTTCACAAACAAGGAAACCAAAAAAAAAAGTTCTTTCAGACATGAATCAAAGCAAATCTAAAGCAAATTTATTCCTCAGATCTCAGGAAATCCAAAACAGTAAAAGAACCACTTCATCCTTCTCTAGCAACGCTGCAAAAGATCTCTAAAAAGCTTCAAAACTGAATCCAAACCAGTTGCAAAAAGACCTTCAAACTTACACTTCAAAATCAATTTCTTCCTTAAAAAAATGAATCCTTTAGATGCAAAAAACCCATCATATTTGCATTTGGATTTTTTGTTCCACCATCACCATATATAGAACTTTTCACCTTCAAAATCTCACAGTGAAACTCTTATTAAGAATAAATATGAACTTGAAATACTTAAGATACATAGAAACCCAAGATGAATATGGATTCGAGACAATGGATTTGTAAATAATCAAATTCCCCAAATCTACCTTCTTCAGAACTCTATTCGTTAGGTTCTTATCCGTTGGAAATATCCAGGTCATCGTGGTCTGACAGAAGAGAGTGATGGAGGTCTCATCGGGTTTCTATGGAAGATTACATCTTCTGTATATCAAGCTTTACATGCGAGAGAGATGAATTTCTATTTTTATTTCAGGTGCTAGAAGATTGGTGGAGACAAAAGATGAAGGAGATGGAGGGTTGCCGGCGATGGTGGAGTTTTCCGGCAAGCATATGTATGGAAGAGATGTAGTTGTTCTTTCAGAGATCCATAGATGAAGAAAGGGTACAAGGGTTTAATGCAGTACATCTTGTGGAGGGGTGAGATGGTGGGACCACCTGTATATTAAACAATGTCTTTAACTAATAAATAATTTAAAAAATATTAAATTAATTAGAAAAGAAATATACAGGGGCAATAAAGTCTTTTTAAGTCTGGTAGGGACCAAGCGTGCAACGAAAATATATAATAGGGATGGTCCGAGTTAAAAAAAGTTTTTAGGGACCAAGCGCACAGACTACACCAAACCACATGGACCATTCGTATAATTTACCAAAAAAACAACTTATTGACTTTTTTCCACCACAAAAATTAATCTAAACATTTTTTTAAAAACTTTTTTTCCGCCAAGAAAGACGCTCTTTGTAACAACCCGATATTTTAAATCAAATGTAACATTCAAAAAGTCAAATATAATGAACTATTTGGAATCAACGAAATTAGCGTAAAAAATGGAGTGTTCTAAAATCTTAATTGGGATACATAAAGTGTTAGATATCATGCCAAGGTTTCCAAAAACATAAAGAACACTCAAATCCGAGTTATAACGAAGGAGTTATGACCAATCGAAAATCCACGACACACCCGGTAAAACACTGCTAAACGTAAAAAGTGAAACTTCAATAAAATATTTTTTAGCCTTAAGATATCTAAACGAAAGTCGTAGATTACGTTAAACCGTGAGTATACATAAAAAGAACGCCCAAATCTGACTTCATATGAAGAAGTTATGATTTTTCTAAGTTTCGGAACAGCGGTAGACAGCTAAAAAATTCGGAATAAAGATCGAACGATTTTTAACCGATGCAACCTAAACGAGAGTTCAAGGTCTCTATAATAGTAGTACAATGGTAAAAAGACATACGAAAACGGACGTCGGATAAAGAAGTTATGGATTTTTAACGGAATTATCGTGTCCCGGCCTATTAAATAAAATATAATTACAAATAAAGTCAAAATTAGCCGACGAAGTCTAAATGAAAGTTGTAGAGTATTTTTTCACCTTCGCGTGGATATAAAGAACGTCAAAATCAGAGCTCGTATTCGAAAGTTACGGATTTTACAAGTTCGAGGTGCACAAAACGAGACGATTTACGCCCAGCGTACCCTCGTACGCCCAGCGTACTCGGATGCTAGGCTCCGGATCGTCCACGTCGCCCCCTACGCCTCTACGACGTC